AATGTGTATTTATAAATTTATTATCAGCAAAAGCATGTATTTGTTTATCAACTTATAATAACCCTTAACTGTTGATTTTATCTATGCGCAGGCATTTCTGTGTTAACTCTTGACAACAGGATATTAAGAGCAATGACTAGAAATCTTAGCGAAAGTAACATAATTTACAGCTTATGTTCTAACATCACTTCCTTTGATAATAAAGTTATGAGTAACGCAACGAGGTGCCTTACATTTTTATGCACAAATGTGCCGTTTATTAAAACATAAATATATCCAGCAGCAGGAAATGCGGTACAACCAGCAACCGACAACGTCCGTTACCAACGTAATTGTTACCCAGCCCGAACCTGCCAGCAATCCACTTATGTTGACAGGCCTTCAAGGACACAGAAAATGGACCACGGGACTGTTCGGTTGCTTTGATGACATACCTATGTGTGAGTTAAATGGATTGTCACTCTACAACATATTTTCATTGTAACAACTTATTAACTATGTGGAATATGTACAGCGAGGAAACGTTTAAATGCACCTGATAAATGTACCTATTCCTACTTTTGCCTTTTGAAAAATACTTGTTTCCTCAGGTCTGTTGACGTTGTGTTGTTTGCCATTTGTGGAGTGTAAGAACGCCTCCCGTTTAGAAGAGTGCTGTTGCATTCCCTATTGTGTACCAGGTGGCACCATCATCGTCAGGGCCAGGCTCAGAACCATAGGAGGGATACAGGTGAGTAGAGGTGCATTGTGGGTAATGAATGCGAGTATCGTAAATATAGCTGATGAGGTGTATCGTAGAAAAATGGAACGAGTAGAGTGTGGCTTATCGGGGACAAATGTAAGTTTGCAAAGAGCAGAATGGGGTTTATCGTGAACAGATATGAATGAGATGATGTGTCGTTGACAGAGGTATGTTGGATACAACATTAAGAGATGTGATTAGGGTACATCGCTGAAAGGTGGGAGTGGTTTAATGCCGACAAGTATGGAAAACTCTATTAAGATTCGATTATCTTCTGTAACAGCCAAACGTAATTCCAAACTTTATAAGGGTTTTTTATGGGCATTATTCCCCATTATCTAGATATATCAGAACAATCTGTCGACGATTACAGCCGCTGTTGGAGGGATGAAATGACCGTATAGGGCGGTGTTAAACTATTTACTTTGTTTCGACATCTACATCAACAAACTTAATATATAAGTATATGCATCTGTAATCCGTATTTCTATTTTAATGTTATGTACGTATGCCGCTGGTGCGTTAAACATTTTACAGAACCATTATGTACTAGTATATTGGGTACATATATGTTATGCCTTGTGTGGTGTACGTCATTGTAAAACTATGATATATACTAAAAAAATCCCATTTTTTTTAAATACCTACAATTATAACACATTCTATTTTCCCAGGGATCCGTCTGTAACGACTGTATGACTCTGGCCTGTTGCGGCCCGTGTGCAGTTTGTCAGATGTCACGTGAGATGGACAATATGGGCATCCTTTAACCCGTCTGAGGCTCATAGTATCCATGTAGGTGGAACAGTTTGACGAACTTTCATTTTACATATGTAAGGCCAAGATATAACCTTTTATGGAAATTGCCTGTTACATTGAACAATTGTTGTATCACTTATTATTTCTGAGTAATCGCTACGGTAGTTAGGTGATAAGGTGCATATGTAATGCATGCATATCAAATTGATAGTATTTCGTGTCGCCGTTGTTAATGATAAACGTTAATTATTCCAAGGTGATTAAAATATAACAGCAGAATAAAGTGTGTTTGCTGTACAAATAATGGCCAAACCCATTGTGTGTATACAACAAAGAGGTACATTGACTTGTTACCTAAGTGTTTCCAAAGCTTTTGTCTCCTGACAATAAATTTACTATATTACACGAACGCTGCTGCCGCTTACGGATGGAAGTTCCAATGTTGTGTTAGCACCTAAATGCCCAGATGAAGGCACCTATATCCAGCTTGTATTCCATCCTTCTTAAATCATATGCATTCAATAAATGTGTTTATTATTTTTTCATATTATTCCCGACAAGTGATTGGCCAGAAGTGAATCACGTGTCCACCGATAAAAGCCGATATTGACTTGGAGCGCGTGATTTTTGTTGAAGGACAGGGTGTTTCTAAAAATAGAATAATGAACGAACGTATCGTCTCGCTTCCGCAGCTTTTTGCTATGTTTTTTTCAGATTGCTAACATTACTGTTTTGAAAATAATAAAACAATTGTAGCCTTTAACTTCGGTCAATACCTGGATTTATCGACCCGATTAAAGATATATTCACCTCGGACTGCGTCCTCTGTTAATATGTCTTTTTTCGGGTCGATAAATCCAGGTATCGACCTCAGCCAAAGGCTATAATTGAAAAATAATCATTAAATACAATACTGTGTAAACTAAGTTTCCTGGTGTTAAACAATCAACGCTTTCATGTCATACGTAAGGATTAACTAAGTTACCTGCTATTAAACTAAGGTTCCTGATGTTAAACTAAGTTTACTGCTGTTAAACAATCAACGCTTCCATGTCATACGTAAGGTTAAACTAAGTTACCTGCTATTAAACAAAGTTTCCTGTTGTTAAACTAAGTTTACTGCTGTTAAACAATCGACGCATTCATGTCATACGTTTCTTGCTGTTAAACCAAGTATTTAGCTGTTAAACTAAATTTCCTGCTGTTAAACTAAGTTTCCTGCTGTTAAACTAAGTTTCCTGTCAAACTAAGTTAACTGCTGTTAAACTAAGTTAATGGCCGTTAAACTAAGTTTCCTGCTGTTAAATAATCAACGCTTTCATGTCATACGAAAGGTTTAACTAAGTTTCCTGCTGTTAAACTAAGTTTCCTGCTGTTAAAATAAGTTTCCAGCTGTTAAACTAAGTTTCCTGCTGTTAAACTAAGTTTCCTGTTAAAGTAGGTTTCCTGCTGTTAAATTAAGTTTCCTGCTGTTAAACTAAGTTTACTGCTGTTAAAGTAAGTTTCCTGCTGTTAAACTACGTTTCCTGCTGTGAAACTAAATTTCCAGCTGTTAAACAAAGTTTCCTGTTAAAGTAAGTTTCCTGCTGTTAAACTAGGTTTCTTGCTGTTAAACAATCAACGCTTTCATGTCATACGTAAGGTTTTTCCAACTAATATTATCTAGCTAACCCTCTCATGAGAATGAGGAAACAGTTAAATATTGTAAATCAGTAATGTTTACCAACAGCCTAAGTATTTTATCTTACTACATTAGGAACTGTATTGTCGACGTAAGATAAGACCTAGAGGACAGTTTTTATCCTCTGTGTATCTGAATAGTGAAATGAAACAAACTCGGTCAATTTACAACAAGATCACATTTTTCAGATTTGAGTTCATATATTACAATGAATTTTTCTTCATTGAGTACTTTAATTACAAGAGGAAGGGTGCTTACTAACATGTTGCAATACATTTTTCAAGTATCGTCAAAAAGACGGGAGAGCAACAAAAACTATCTTTATATTGGAGAACGAATCCAACTAGTGTGAACGATGTCAGATGATAAGACTACACTAGCAGCTGAGTGCCGTAGAAGGCTCAAAGTCAATGAAGGCAGCATGATACACAACAAACATATTCTTCGTTAACATACAAAGTACATATATAGAGTCCGCCTGAAGAAGTCATAGAAGGCAGAAAGGTCGAGCTGTTGATCTTGGATACCTATTATGTTATTCTATATGTTCCTTCGCAATAACTTGTCTCTGTATTATCTACTATAAATAGCATATATAGCAATAATGCACCGATGAGAATCACAATTGATAATACAACTTATACAATTTTCTGAAAATTAACGTTATTAGAACAAGACACCTGTATTTCACATAGGTTATGTTAATGCCAGTCAAATCGTACAGTAAAATACTAGTGTTAGCAGAGTAACGGAGTGGGGAAAACCATGCAGTATACAGTTGTTCATGGGCATCGTAAATCCTGGTTTAACATAGCTAGTCCGAAATAACTGACACCATCAACCTTTATCAAAACAAAGAGAAAGACTCTGAATTTATCTCAGCACGATCAAACACATTCAAAAAGCAGATATACAATTATGCTGGAGTTTTCCTGCACTTATCTAGAAAGATAAGTGGGTTATCTGACTAGATGTATTGAAGTAAAGGATTTCACCCTGAAATCTTTAACTGCCAGATTTCTTTTTTCTTCTTCTTTCGTATAATCATCATTTATATATAAAGAACATCAGAATAGATATCAACATGAATTTATCACATACACTGTATGTTATCGCTCAATAATCAGTTGACCCCCAAAAACTCCCTTGGAGCTCGTATTTCACATTATTCGGGATTTTGTCCATTTCCAACATATCCCATCATAATATTAAGCAAAACAATTCTGGGTACACAAAATGTATGGAGATTGATTAAGTTTAGATTGTATCCCTTTGTGATTACAACAAGTGCTGAAAGGTAGGGAAATTATACAGAGGGAACACTTTACTACAGCGTCACACACACGGACACTCTTGGAAACCTGGAGTTAATTCGTAAATATAATCACAAGAATGCAGGGATAACCAAAACAAAAGGAAAGCCACCTTGAACCTCAATAAAACGGAGAAAAACGTGTGTTATGTTTATTAGAGTATGAGGACTTCAATATTGCTGTTGCCTGTAAGACGTTATTTTAGAACTATTTTCTCTTTAGGTGACGCTGGTACATGATAGCTGAGATTGAGCATGTGGTAATTGAACACTATAATCGTGTGGTCAGTTCCATTCATGACTACTGACTTGTAAGATATAACAACTCCAAAGAATTGTCTAACCAAGCAACAGAATGAACGATTGATGAAATGAGCAACTTATATTACAATGCACTGTATGAAATATCCTCGTGCTATTGTGTTCGTGTTTCCGTGTACTTAAGAAGTAACACGATTTCGTACTCTTATCCCTAGAAAACTGTTGTACTTACTAATGACTGCCATAGACAAGTGTACAATCTACTATTGGAAACACACAAACTAACAACATAAAACTCCTTTAAATATAACACAAAAAGAATTTCAATAAATTTCACCTGCCGGAATTTAAACGAAATCATATAATTTAATAAATTTATTTATTTTAGCTATTTAGTTATAATAGAACCTGTTATTATTTGTGTGCAGTCTTATACCGGATTTGGTTAATGGTAAGTTACGTTTTCATTGTATTCTTTTTAAGTTTGATGAAATTGGAAATTCATTGCAAAACAAAATTAACGTTTCATTGCAAACAGTGTTTATCGATATGAGAATTACTCCTCTGCTCTTCTGAAGCGGAAAACAATTGGCGAGGAGATGTGGCCTCATTTGCATACGACACTTTCGTACGTTTAACAGACTACAAAAAAGACCAGGCCATGAATAACATACATCACTCTTTTTTCCGGTATGTGTTAATGTTGAGCAAGATAACATGTTTATCAAGCAAACTCCACTTGTATGCGTGCTTTTTAATCAGTTATTAATTCTTCTGTTTTCCGGAAGAACTTCCGGTAATGTTTGTGTCAGTTTACTGACGATGGTCAAAAGTATATGACTAGACGATACTGCGCCAAACAAGCAATGCTGAAATTAACTCTAACTAGTCTTATTTCGTGAAGATTTCTTGTACTTTAATTTATTTAATGATACATATTGCATAAAGTGAATGAATATTTATAACAAGTCCATCAATACTAGTTCATTTCTTAAGGACTGCAAAAGGGCGAAAGTCACTAAAAAACCTACATCCGGAGATATGACTTCTGTATATGTATGCCTATATCTGTTCTCTCTGTTGTGATTACAATTTGAGAGACATGTTCATAACTCATTTTACGAATATCTGACTTACTGAATCTCATTATGGGTGCGGACCTCACCATTCTACAGAGACTGCTTTGATTTCGCAATAAAACGTCTCGTGTAAAAGCTGTGATTAATGGTCTGCTATATCCTTTATTGTATTTGACGAGCTTGGAATTGTTAACCGATTCTAATGCATTTGATTGTGTGTACCTCTCGTGCTATGATAGGGAGTTGCACTTAAATTGTATTTTATGTTGCTGATGTATGAATAGAAATATTTCAAACCTTAAACAAGTGTATGAAAAATCTAGGAAAGTGTATTTTGTAGGAAGTCTATATACTTATTTAGCATGATATAATATTTGTAGTAATCTATTATATCTATCATATGGACATAGATACGAATTATGCCTGTGTCTATAATCAACGTAAATTAGTTTCAATCAAGAAAAATTATTTAATGAATCCTCAGTTGTCTCCCTTGGAGAGCCTCGAATCAAACCTGTTCTTAATACGTCATGGTTAGATTATTTTAAGAACGAAAATATTTGAATGTTACTCATTTGGTTCATGAAGGATAAGCTGTGGTCATTTGTGTCTGACATGTATATGAATTACAAGTTGAGTGTACAAAATCGAACAGGGTAGTCGTTTGAACATATCTCTGGTTGTCAGTATTTGTAATGTTATGTCATACCATGCTTTGGCGTTTTGTCCATAATCACTAATTAGATATTGTATATTTGTAGCACAGTTACACTGAAAAGTATTCCATGTGGTGTTCAACACCGGGGGAGCATACATTTGTACCAAATAAACGTATACCATGTAGTTTTATTACAGATCGTACACCATAATAAACAGGACACATATTTATGAGAATAATTTGCTGTTTCAGTGGTTCATACTTAGACTTAGTGTAAAATAAAACAAATGCAATATGCAAATACAACAGGATGCATTCTCAACTCGAAATCGACTCAAAAGAATTGAGATGATACCAAATCCGAGGAAGGCACTTCCACTTCAATCTGATAACAGAATCTGATGACCTGAGCGGGTAATCGTTCCCTAGACCCTACGTCAGTTCCTCCTCTTATATTTCACCTTAATAGATTTTTGTGTCGTATAATGTTACAATTAGCCTTAGCACAATCTCGTGTCAGTCTTCGTGCAATGCACTGATAATTCATATATAACAAACATTCGCATATATTTTTTAAACTGCTGTTACAATACTTTGAATGATTGTTATCATGTAAGTGTAAACTAATCCAACATTCGATGCACGTTGTTCATCTCTACATCTGAATCCTCAACTTCAATCTTGATATAATCTACCTTCCCTCGGTGTAATTAATCAATGTGATAAATGTATCTCTCTGCCTTATCAGCATTTGTAATATCCATGCAATAAGTTATTCCAAACTAAGATTATATCAACTTGCATTTTCGACAGCTATTTACATGCGTCCCTTCAGTCACTCGTTACTTGTGCTTTCGTGTACGTAAACATTTTACTCTATCTTAGGTAGATACAGGTATATATCCTCCTCAACTTGAAATCAATGATGATAAGCCACTTCTACATCCGCCGTTTTCCTTGATTTTACTAGCATCATGACCACTTCTTAACAGTTATTTGGTTCCAACTCGGTGATATAGACTCAGATATGGCTAAAGGAGAACGGTTTTGAAGACAGCCCACGCCAAAACGTTGGTTCCTCATTAAAATTGTACTAGCTATACGGCCTACAACGTGAGTGCATCAGATAGCACTAAGGGATCACAGTAATAACGGGACGGAAATGTGTTTCAAGCTGTGGCTTTGCATGCCGTCACAACTGGTCTTCAGTAGGCGATGTCAAGATATGGTGGAAACCGTGGACCCAGAACGTTCAGGTTTCGTTGTGTTGACATCACTGACACCTCTATTGCTTACTATATGGAACAGATAGTTTGGGAAATAAAATCATAGAATTTGAGATGGATATAGACTTGATATATAATAGATAATCATTGCAAATATCCATCAGCGTGAGTGAATAGTGTGTGTGCATAATCATTCATATTAAGAATGTGTAAAGAAAGTGTATATATGTATTTGATTATCTCCCTTTTTCTGGGCTACAATACTGTTTCCTGTCACTTCAATGGAAGGGAGGTGTGCCAAATCGAGCCTTCTGCAGGCTATCAGAGTGCATCGGTGACATGAATAGGCCGATACATAACAAGGTCATAGTGACCTACTTATAAACATCTGGCTGTTTTGGGTTTTTTTGTCATTTTCTTGTATAATATGCCGCTTTAGTGTGACACAATACGTAAAATATATGAAGAAATATTAAAAAAGAAATATGCAGTTTAGTCACAAAGAGGCCATGTAAGATTTCGGTCCAACCTTACCCCCCTCATGTCACGGAACGGCCTCCACTATGATTAGGTTTGGTTTTATTTAGTATTGTTTATTGTCCTGTTAACAGCTATGGTCAATTAAGAACGGCCTTCCATGTTGCAAGATGCAGGCGTGTAGTGTATGCGTGTGTGTTTTGGGAGGTTGCGATATGTTCGTGTTTATAGTGCTACCTCACTGAACCATACTGCCGAAGGCACCCAGCAGGACACTTCAACTGGTCACATTATACTGACAACGGGCCTTCACTATGACCATAATCCAATGTCACAACATAATGGTATAACACCAAAGTATGTTTTGCAATAAAACTTATCGGCGATTGCCAAATGAAGACCCAAAATTGCACCCCTCCTTTTAGTGGCACCGACAGGTTGAATTAATTGGTGTTGTTCTCATCTGACAGGTAGTTTATGATAGAATATATAACTTACTCATTGTGGGAATTATTAAAAGTAAGTGTTTAGTGTTAAAACCGATTTCTCAGCTCTTTCATTCCCTTGCTCATGTTTTAGTACAGGGAGTAGAGAGTCACTACCTTATCATCGTAAGGGGGAAAATGGAGTCAGATGCCAGGAACAAAATAGGTAGGAACGTTTCTTTACTTCCTTTACAAGATGTGTATGACATTTGTAGACCCGTATTTACTTGTCAAGAACTCCGTTTCCTCTTGATAATGAGATAACTGCACGGGAGCCCAGTAGAAGCAACACACATTGCAGCCAGCTGTTCGAGCGGAAGGGAAAGCTGGACAGCAGACACTGGCACAGAGATGGCATGTGCTGAAGATAGAAGAACCCATGCTACAGGAAGGGTTGGCCATAGAAAAAGAAAACGATAGACTGATATTGGCCTTGTGGCAATCAGATGAGAAATAACATTAAAGGAAGAAGGGGAAAAAATAGAAGAACCGTCACAAATACACCCTTCTATGACCACAGCTTCGGTAAATGTTCTCTAGCAACCAATTGTTGAGACATGAAACATTATGGCTACGTACGGTGACCAAGCCGTGCACAAATGTCATCTTCGAATTACAATATAATAATGATATTTTGTTTCTGTAGTAACGAATGAATCATATTTTGAAAGTCGATTTTGTGACCACTGAAGATATATCTTGATACCGCCTTGATACAATATGTTTCTCCTGAAAACCCATCTGCTCATATTCGTTAAATACATGCAATTATTGTTATTTGGGCCCGTACGGTAACACTGCCAAGTACGACAGAGGGTCGTTTAAAAGAGACCAATCATATAGCAATACGTACTTGACTGTGTACTGTGAAACAAGGCAATGATTCTAGACCGTGCTTATAGTAAGCAACGATGGAAAAGTACTTGTAATGTGATCGGATAACATCACTCTAAGCCCGAGGTCTTGTGTCATATAGGGGACCTAGCGTAGTATGTATCGACTTCATCGCATGCTGTTATAAACAGTAAAATCACAGAGTAAGATCATACAGCATATCTATTAGGTTATTTATAACGAAGGAAGGTCGTACACTTCGAAATGCAGGACCAAAACCAAGGTGGACAGCAACTTCTGGTAAATACAATTTATTCCATTAGATTGTTTTCATGTGCTGTTAAAAAGCGAAAAATTATTTCACATGCCATAAATAATCTTTCAGTTCTTTAGCTAGTACAAAAATGAAGTTTAATTTTTACAAGGTCTGTGTCTAGCAAATTCTTGCGCTCTCGTTACGGGTGAACTACTACCTTATTACACTGTCGTTATAGATGAAGTATAATTGTATAACACTGTCGTTATGGGTGAAGTAATAAATTATAACACGGTCGTTAGTGTTCAAGTATAACCTTAGTACATTGTCGTTTTGGGTGAAGTAGTACCTTATTACACTGTCGTTTTGGATGAAGCACTACCTTATATCACTATCGTTGTTGTTGACGTTATACCTTATTACACTGGCGTTGTTCGTGAAGTAGTACCTTATTACTCTGTCGTTGTGGATGAAGCACTTCCTTATTACACTGTCGTTGTTCGTGACGTAGTACCTTATTACACTGTCGTTTTGGATGAAGCACTACCTTATATCACTATCGTTGTTGTTGACGTTATACCTTATTACACTGCCGTTGTTGGTGAAGTAGTACCTTATTACTATGTCGTTGTTGGTGACGTTATACCTTATTACACTGTCGTTGTTGGTGACGTTATACCTTATTACAATGTCGTTATTCGTGAAGTAGTACCTTATTCCACTGTCGTTGTTGATGACGTTATACCTTATTACACTGTCGTTGTTCGTGAAGTAGTACCTTATTACACTGTCGTTGTGGATGAAGCACTACCTTATTACACTGTCGTTGTTGGTGACGTTATACCTTATTACACTGTCGTTGTTGGTGATGTTATACCTTATTACACTGTCGTTGTTGGTGATGTTATACCTTATTACACTGTAGCTGTGGGTGACATTATACCTTATTATACTGTCGTTGTTCGTGAAATAGTTCCTTATTACACTGTCGTTTTTGATGAAGCACTACTTTATTAAACTGTCGTTGTGGATGAAACACTACCTTCTTGCACTGTAGCTGTGGGTGACGTTATACCTTATTACACTGTCGTTGTTGGTGATGTTATACCTTATTACACTGTAGCTGTGGGTGACGTTATACCTTATTACACTGTCGTTGTTCGTGAAAAAGTACCTTATTACACTGTTGTTGTTGGTGATGTTATACCATATTACACTGTCGTTGTGGATGAAGTACTACATTATAACACTGTTGTTGTAAGTGAAGATTTTGTCTTATTTCACTGTCGTTGTTCGTGAAGTAATACATTATTACACTGTCGTTGTTGGTGATGTTATACCTTATTACACTGTAGCTGTGGATGATGTTATACCTTATTATACTGTCGTTGTTCGTGAAATAGTTCCTTATTACACTGTCGTTTTTGATGAAGCACTACCTTATTAAACTGTCTTTGTGGATGAAACACTACCTTCTTGCACTCTAGCTGTGGGTGACGTTATACCTTATTACACTGTCGTTGTTGGTGATGTTATACCTTATTACACTGTAGCTGTGGGTAACGTTATACCTTATTACACTGTCG